AATAATAATAATAATAATAATAATAATAATAATAATAATAATAATAATAATAATAATAATAATAATAATAATAATAATAACTGAAACTAAAAAGAGAATGGTTTCAGATACTGGAAATAGAACATTAGACATTCCTCAAAGCTAAAAGCCGAGTGAACTGTTACAGAAAAACTGCACGGTGAAGAAATATTACACATGATGGAGAAACCCATAATAATAAACAAAGTTGAGACTACTGGGAAAATTACCTCTTTTGTTCGGCTGCAAAAAGTTTTGCTTCAAGCCTTTGACCAGGATCATCCTCTCCTGATGACCATGAGGGGCTTCTTGGTTTTGGTCTTGCCTTGCTCGATAACCATTCATGAAATTGCTGCACCAAAAGGTTTTATTTCAAAATTAACAACCATGAGAAATAAGAACCCCCAATCGAAATCTACATCTTCCTAAAAAGGAAAATTATTCGGTGATGTGAAAGCAAAGAGGTGAAATCAAATATCAAGCCTAAAAGAGAAGAGACCCTCCATATGAAAAGGTAAACGCATATGGATTCAATAGCAAAAGCTAGAAAGATGGCATCCAACAGAAACCAACAATAAAACCACTATTTAGAATCTATCTTAATAAAAATGGCAATTTGGTCTAACAGTAATAAGTTGTGCCATTGAATGGCTTATAATTAGAGAATGACTGAAAATACCAAAGTGACCGTTTGTTTCTCTGGAAGCATAAACTAAAAGAAGAGACTAACCATACATCATAAACAAATACATGAAGATATAGAACCAAAAAAAAAAGGGAAGCAAAAGAGGTTATCAGGCAAATCTGTGAACACGGACGAAAGGGAAAGAAAGTCAATAATTCATCAAAAGGAAATCCAATGAATAAAATAGAAAAAAGGTATAAAAGATGCTTACAATTTTGTGAAAATGAAACAAAAAAAGGTTATATATAAGTGACTCAAAGTACCATAAATTCAAATTTTGGAAGGAGTTACACCAGCAACACAGTTCCCAAAGTATTAACTATAAGCAAAATTGTGTATGTGATGATAGAGACCATCACGCGGAACAAAGGTGAAGTCCTCGGACAAAGCGGCAACAAGCCACACAAAAGAAGGTTAAACGAAATTAATCTTGACACAACAATTTTTATAAACAATATAACAACAGAAGAGAACCCTTTTTTGTAGGAAGAAAAACAGTGATCGTGAAGAAGCATTTGGAGTTATTCAAACCCACAAAAGCAGATGAAGCGAATATTAAAGATGTGGGCAAACAAATATAAACCAAATGGAAACACATAACACATTTGGAGAAAACACGCACAAAGCTATCAGTAAAAACATGAGAAGTAGGGTCCGATTTAAACGAAGATCCAAAACACAAATGAAGGAGCTCCATAAGAATCGCAAAATTTTGAGAACACATGACAGTAAAAAAGTTGCCAAATACGAAAATGAAAACACAGCCAAGATAGAAAAAGAATCAAAATTATACACCAAGAAACGAACTGAATCAAGAAACCGAGAAACTATCAAATAAAAGAAAAGAAAAGAAAAGGCTCGACTTAAACAAGCTAGGAGAAAAACCAATGAACAACGTACCTACAATCAAAACTCCCACAAGGAAAAGACCCCTAAAGAAACCCCACACCAAAAACCTGCAACCGAACTCACCAGAAAAGAAAAGGCGAAAAAAGTGAAACCCAAGAAAACACTCAAGAAGAGATTCAATCTTTTCTGTAATGATGACGTCAAGATGCAGACACCTACCTTCTGAGATCATCTTGTCCGAGTTAAACCTCGACACAAAACTAAATTTCAAGAGACAAAGACCTCCCACCTCGGAGAGAAAATGAAAACTTCAAACTGTCTACAATAAGCTAAAATTCGACGCAAAAACGTGATCAGAATCGCCAAAAGAGGACCAGAGGCTCCAACTTCCTCCAAGAGACTACCTGTCTCCTGAGGTCGGCATCTCTGAGTTTGGCCTCGATCTCCTCCACGCTGGAGGGGCCGCTGCTCTTGCCCTCCAGGAGCCTCCGCCGTATCCTCCTGGGGATCCTCGCGCGGGATGACGCCACCTCCGCGTCGGTGAAGTCGAGCGCCACCGCCGCGGGCCTCGCGACCTCCGGCGACTCCACCGTCCCCCGGGAATCCATCGGCCGACCAGGGTCGCTCCACAGATCGTCCGCCTGGTGATCGACCAAACAAAGGCTCCCCGGTCGAACAACAGCAAGAATCGCAAGGAACCGATCACGATCAACCAAAAAGGTCGAGTTCGCCTCTTTCTTCGATCTCGGATCACTTTATAAAGCGGTCGCTACGTAATATTTATTTCCTGCACTCCATTGCATACCCTTCAGTCTATCACGGGAAGCTGGACCCCACATGGGAGCATCAGACAGATGCGTCGGTAACGCGGGTCGAAAATGGTTTCGGTCCGTTACTTGATCTCAGCGGCTTTTTCTTAACGGCGCCGTTAGGCAACGGCTGGCTTTCAAGGCTCAACCGACGCCCGTTCGCGGGCGCATGGACGAAAAAGACCTCGGCAGCACACCTACCACCCCAATTCTTTGGTGAGCAATTAAGAATATGGATTAATATTTAATTACCATAAATGCATTGCTGTGTATTACTGACACCAATCATCCAATCGTAAATAATAATTTGGTACTGTTTTCTGAGAATACAATAAAAAGACTCTTAAATGTGCGTGACGGGAGCAAACGGCGGTTTGCAGGGGTAGGAAGGTAAAATCACTACTTCCGTCCGGTTCGTTTGCCGGGGGTCGGACGGTTGACGTGGCATCCGAAGGAGACGATACGAGTTAATGCACGCCGGTTGGCAGATGGCGGACGCCTCGCTCAAATTACCAAAACACTCCTCCGCAAAAGGCATAAGGTGGGCTGAGACTTCAGGGTCAGTTTGGTCAAAAACAAAAACCCATAAATGGCAGAAATTGACTTAAATTAACTTAATGCTTACTTAACATAATACAAATTAATGAAATTACAGAAAATAACTGTAAATATGTGATAAGAAATATAATTTTATTATAATTGACTCTGATTTCTACTATAAATCATGATAATTTCTATTGAGAAGTGAGAGCATATTAAGATCATCTAAATTCCAAATAGTGTAAAAGTCATGCAAGTGACACTAAAAAATAATAATTAAAAATATACCATATTCTTCTGTAAATATGATTGATGTGTCTAATTACATTTAATATTTACCAAGATGGAATTCTTCCTTGGTTTATCAAATGTATTAAAGTATCTGAGTATGATGATTCCACTTGGATTCTTTGAATGCCTTCCTCTGTGGAATGATTAAGGCCTTACATGTAAGCATGCATCCAGATATAAAACATATATGATCATGATTTCTAATGATAACAAACCTATTTAACTTGTGAATGATTCATCTCATTCAGCATAGAGTAGTTCATGCTAAATTATTGAGAGTCGATGAGGAGGATTAGCTTAGGTTCAGGAGATGTTTAACATTCTTCAAATAAGATTACTGTTTTAATTAGGTTATGATCAGAAGACCTTTGTGTTCTAAGCTCATTTTGTTTGCTGTAATGGAGGGTTTTTCTTTTAATTTTAACACTGGAAGTGTTTGATTCTATTAATATCAATTTTGATCGTAAACTCAATAGGCTGAGTTTAATCGTGTGAATCTCGTCGATACTCATAAATCTCGAGTTGGATCGATCGATCGATCGAATTTAAAAAAAAATCATGAATTAAATTCTTCGGCTAGTTTGGTTCACTAAATATGCCCTTAATTTTTATTTATTATAAAAAAAATTGAATTTTTCAAATATATTTATTTAAAGATAAAAGAGATGAAAATATTATTTTATTTGTTATTTTTTTTATCCCTTTAAAATCTCCCCTCTTATCAATCACTATTTTTTTATTTTTTATACAATATTTTTTTTATAATAGTACCAAAATATTTTATATTTTTGTACAATGATTTGCTAAACAGATAAGTTAGATTATGGCCCACCGACAAAATAAATGTGAGAGAAATATGATATGGAATCCTGTCTCCCATGGATGACTTTGATGGGGATGTGCAGCTGATGTCAATTAATATGAGAGCTCTGAAGAAAAAGTTGTGGTTCTAAAACACCCACTTTTTCTACAAGATTGCAAGATTCCAAATGGATAAAAAGATGTTGGGTCATCCTAAAATGCTTCCTTATTAAGTGCTTTGCCATTGCAATTGACATCCAAAACTGTAACTTGTGGATGTTTGAGTGATTACATGTTTGTGGTTTATGAATACTGAGCATTGCACCTGTTGTCTGCATAACTCTTTAATTCTAAGGAAGACACAATTTTTCTTTTTTTTTTGGTTTTATGCAAAGGATAAGTTGGGAACATGAGATTTGATCACAAGGTTTGAGTATAAACCTCAAGTGCATGAGTTTGGATTTACACAGATGAGAGTATTATGAATACATCCCACAAAAATCATAACATTATTGATAGCTGCAATTTGAGCTTAGTGAACAACCACAGGGCATATTTTACCATACACATTTCTAGCTACTACTGCAGCTAATTATCTAGCAAGGGATCTGCCTGAGTTCATTCCATCAAAGCAAAGAACATACCACCAGTTGTGTCTGTGGAGAGTTTCAGGTTTAAGTTGATTGAAGTAAGCAAACTAATCTAGGTTATGGTTGGCATCAAAATATGATCAGATACATAATATTCAAGGTGTTGGCAACAAATCTTGAAATCTCCATTAGTGACAGTGCTAAACTCAAAGACTTACACAGAGGTTGAATTGATGATCTGATCTTCGGTGTCGAACAGATGCACAAACATGAACAAGATTGGTAGCAGATGTCTTGATGACAATGCAGATACAAGGATGCGAAAGGGAAGGATCGGTGCCTTCGAAATCATGAACCTTTCATGGAACCAATTATCCAGACGTTGAACGAGTGAGCTTGGAGTGAAGATGACAATGACACAAAAGGGATGAAACAAAGTGGTAGTCATGAGAATACAGAAATGAAGGAACCAACATGACAGTTCAAGAGCTACTATCACCACCGACTGGTCGTATGAGCTGAAGATGACCGCCAGGTGCACATATCAAAACGAGGAAAAGGAAGCAGATATCAGACAGTTATTGTTCCGGAGTTATTTGCCTTGTCTGTGAGGTCCAAGTCTCTGGCCTACTTCCCCAATCGACAAATGTAGGTGGATGAAGAAGTCAAATACGATGTCTGGAACTCACAGTAGGTCAGAAGAGTTAAATCTAAAAGCGTAGAGGACCAGTGACAGATTCACACCCAGAAGTTTTGTCCTTGGGCTTCAAAGATAGATTGGCAAATTGTGAATCTAGGTCTCTGCTGCTACGACGAGCATGGGTAGGGTGAGGCTGTTCTTGGAATCGCTGCTGCTGCTGTTGTTGCTGATACAGTGTTCGAAGACGAGCTATTTCTCGTTCTAGCGTCTCCTGTTGAACTGCATCAACCCAAAATAAACATGGAATTTTACTAAATTTCTTCAAGCAAATATTGATCACATAAACCAGCTGTAAGGGAATTCAAAAAACAATCTGCGTGAGACACCCTAACTAAAAAGCTAAATGGTCAAACAACAGCATTATTTATAAATGGTTTGTGCTGCAGTCACAACAAGAAAGTGAAGCAAGTTACAAAATTCACTAGAATTAATGCCTCCTACAACCAGAAGCATATTCATCAACAAAACAAATGTAAATTTGAATTTCTATCTAATATTTTAAAGGGCAACCTAATGCAAGAGGTTCCCACCATAGCAGATTCTATGGGGTTGATTGTACATTATCTTTATCACTACAAATAAAGAGGTTCTTTTCATGACTCAGATCTTGCTCATCTAGTTTGTGAGAGAGCAACCTTACAAAACTTAATAGTGCCATCTAATCTTTTATAAGTATAAATTGAGGTTGTTTGTCACTACATAGCAATGATTTTAAATACACAAAGCATGTCAACAAGTGTCAGAAGCCAATTTCCAAGAGATGTGCAGGAGAATGTGCTTTTTAACTTTGTTTATGCTGCAAATCTTCATTTCTTGAACCTTGTTAAAGTAGCTTATATGCAGGAACCAAACTCCACTTTCTGCATAACAATTTCATATTTGAAGAGGAGAGCAGTTGTTATTATCTAACCTGGTTGCTTTTCAAGCCTAGGTCAACAAGATCTGGTTTAGTGCCTTACAAACCCCTTATGAACATATTGTGTCAACAAAAGTATGAAACTTTCACAGAGGTACAAGCTTACGGCGTTTTATAAGTTTCTCCTGAGCCAGACTGTCCAGTCGTTGCTTCAAGGCTTTATTCTCCAAATTTAGAATAAGATTTTGCTGATCCAGAAATTCCAGCTCAGCAAAAACTTCTAGTCCCTCTGCCTGTTGAATTTTGAGAGCAAAAAAACAACAAAGATATCCTTTAATTTCTTTTCACTTAAAGCTTCTAAGAATTATTTAAGCTCGATCTTTCTATACTTGCCTGTAAGGCCTGGACGTGTTTCTCGAGCTCAGCAATATATTGCAGTTTCCGGACACGGGAGCGCTGAGCATATTGCCTGTGATACAATAAATTGTTTAAGAAAGAGCTTACAAGATATACACAACTAACATGATCTTCTTATCAGCCAGAAATGTGCTAGTGCAAATTACATAAAAGGACAGAAAGTTGCATCCCCGAGTGATTAAGTACCACATGAACTCGTGATAAACAAATCTAGTTTCTCTAATTAGTTATAAATTGCTAGTTTGAATGTTTGATCCCTTTATCCCTTTTTTTTATCTGTGCGTATATATGATGCATGAAAAAACGTATGCCTTTCATCCTCATAGGCCAGATGTCAATTGGGCATGCATAACCATGGAGCATTGCAGGCCTAGGTCGACAATCTTATTTCAGGAAGAATATGACATTGGCACGGGCAACCAAAGTACACCTTTAATTAGTTTCACAGGCATGAGGATACCACAAGATTCAGTATTTACCAGCATTATTGTGAATAATGAAGATGGCTGTCCTCTAAAAGAAAAGGAAACAGAAAGATCAGCTCATATGAAAGGTGAAAAGTTGTCCTGTTTATGTCCACCCAAGTATATGTCTGGAGGGCAAATTCCAATAATGCCTCTAACGTTTAAAAAATCCAGTGTAGATGGAAGAAGTCATACGGATCACTTCCATGTTACATGCTAATGCAAAATATATTGTAATGATAAGCCAATTAGTCCAGACTATCTGTCATGTTGCAATGCATCTAACAATGCATTCTAATGCGGATGTATACATGGGCCCTACAAATGAGCAACAGAGTTTACTCCACTGCCTCCAACATACTATTCATAATTATCACCACTACTGCTACCAGACTGGCAAGTGCTCCTTTTATTCCACTTGTCTTGCTCATAATCGGCATTGTTACGGTAGACAAACTAACAAGAATGCCCCTTCAGAACCACACGACCATGTTCCCTACCCCTAAGAAAGCTCATCTGTTACAAAACTGCAACATAAAAGGGGGCCTTTGACTGTAGGTAAAACAAATCCCACTTTCATTCCACATTCATCACTCTTTAAGTTCTTAAACTTTACCAATTCGCCATCCCAAACTTTGATAAAACCTTAGAAGACCTCCCCAAACACATCCATAGTGGTTCTTCTCACTGTCATGTAGGTCTGAACCTCAAAGATGGCCACCTCAGACCCTCTAATGCACATAAGCAAGAAAAGCCCAAATCGGCTAATTATTCGACTCAATAGGACAAACCAAAAACAAAATGTCACATTTAAATAAACCTAGATATAGTAGATTATTCCTCATAGTAACATTATCAAGCAAGTCATTCTCATTTATATCGACTGAATGACACACCAATTAAGAAGTTTCCCCACATAACTAAAAATATACATGCATATGCATAAATCTAAACACGGTGATTATACATAAGCACACATTTTCTGGTAAGCAAAAAGCACATATATTTAAACTCATGATTGTGTGGACGCATAGAGCTCTATACAAAACATATATACCACTGACAGTTTCATAGCTTGCGATACTGGTATATCAAGATCAGTTAAGGACGAAACCATTGACATTGACTAGGGATGAAGCCATCGAGATTGGTAGGATCAGAATCAGCTGATCAGCCAAGAAGACAATTTTAAAATATATGCAAATCATAATAAAACTATAAAACACTAAAAATATATAATATATTCAAGAAAACAAGCATATTTTGTAATTACAATATTCTTTTAACTATTGTTTTTATAACATGTCTCCTTTTTCAGAAATGCAAATTGAAATATAAAGTAAGCCCCATTGTGGCTCCAGTCACACTATATTATTACTCCTTTAGTTTATGAAAATCATTCCTTGCTTCCATTACATTCTTACTCTCGCACTTGAAACTTGAAATGTATACACATACGCATTATAATGATCAAATACATGGTTGTACCACTCAAAGCAGAGTACACTAGAAGAACCTTTAACTATAAAGATGGAAGATCTTCACCAATCATGAAGGCTGATAGCTAGCAGAATGATTCTGACTCACTACAATTAATAATTTCTTAAGTTGGTTACCAGATTTCTTTAAACTCCCATCCAAGCCCATCGAAAATAATTAACATAATCAACATCATCAATGGAAGATCCAGAGAAATTAAACTGATCTGCAATAGCCTTGACGAGGCCTACATACTCGGCCAAGGTTTCGTTGCCATGATAGGTGAGAGTCAGCTTCTCCTAGTGAGTCATCACTCAGGATGGCAAATAGTTTTCAGGAGAATGATAAACTCCTCCATACCTCTAACAAGGATTCGGTAGAGGTAATTAGTATCATATTTGATTCTGAAACAGATGCAATGATAGCATGCAACCAAAGTTGTTCCTTTCATACACAATGTTCAGTTGGCAGTGGTAACCTCAATGGAAGCTGATTTTACAGGGCATTGCATGTAACATTTACATCGACCTTCGGGTTACGACTTAAAGGAAGTAAAATGAATTGTGCTTGCCATGGTGGAAAAAAGGTGGAGTTGAGTTTCATAGGAAGTTGAGCGGCTATATCAATACAGACAAGGTAAATCAGGGAGGAAATGGCTGAGCTGAGAGGAACTTTCAAAAGGTTCACCTGCCATAAGTATTAGGATAATGAATATAGCGGGGCAACCATTTTGAACTCATGCGAGTGTAGATGCTCTAATAACATGAAGGTCCTTCTAGTACTCTGGTTTTGAATTACACCAGCATGTATTGTATTACAATGATACAGGTATGACAGGAATCTTACAACCAAATCAATAAATGAATTTCCTAAACTAGCGTTTGTAGCAAAGAAATCCGCTGACCAACTTAAGAAATTCATAATGTATTGCTTCAAAATTATACTGTAAATTGGAAAAAGTGAAGATTTAGCCGATAGTTGGTGAAAACCTTTCATCTTTAACCTAGTCGGATAAATGAGTTTGTGGGTTAAAGAAACGAATTGCCACCCTTACTGGAGGACAGAGGTTAGATATTTACAGCTCGAGTTAACGCTCACATGTTTAAGTATTTCAGAACTATTAATATACATGCTCCCTTTAAGCCACATACAAATATCTGAACTGGAGTTAAATGACAATCACTGCATTGTTAACAAACAGAGCTTGATGCTACATTTGTTTTATACAAAATCTTTCAATAGAAAAGGAAAATTCACCAATCGAATCGATTCACGTAAATGAAAATGAAATTCCAATAGCAAGTAGTACACATTCATTAATGTAATCATTCAAAAGATTCTGTTGCATTCAAGAACAGGTCACCAGGAAGGTAGCATGTTGATGATATAGTCCCATGTGACAATTGGCTAATCATCTTGTGTACCTGGACTAGCATGAATGTGGGTTACACTTATCTAGATCATCGTATGAAGGCATGTGTGGTCATATTGATCCCTGTTTATCACTATATCTTTTCATGAATGAAAATGTTAAATATATCCAATGGTGCAATATACTTATACATTGCTTCATAATGACAAGCATTTTGCTTGTATTATCATTCAATACGGCAAGTATAAAGATAGGTTGAAATGCTAAATTAAAACAACCAAAACAGACATGCATTAGCCATGTCAAAATGATGACATGAATTTCTGTTGAGTTGTCGCCTCAACTATTGCCTAGACACCTAGTTGTCGGATGGGATTCAAGCTTTGGAATAGTCTTGCCTAAGTTATTTGACCTTAGCTTAAAACTCAACAAAATAGGAAATCTGAACTGGAAAGAGTCAAAACAACAAGTTTACTGTATACACAATCTCTTGAATCTCAAATTAAAGAAGAATATAACAATTAAAATTTAATTATAATTCCCATGGAGAATCACTACAGTTTAATTAAGTCAATGGGCTATAAGTTCTGTATATATATTAATCACTAAAATGAAAGAATAGAATTTAGAGCAGGATGACTCTTATAAATATCAAGGAGACCTAATTCGTTTTGTTTAGGCAATTGCCAAATATTATAAGACCCATAAGAAAACTTGTGAAGTGGTTAGATTCCCAGCTGCAATATATATTAAGAAAGTTGTAGTGAAGAGGGGCATGCCACAGTGAAAAGAAAGGTGAGGCAATAGATCAGCACTTGCAACATTTGTGATGTCATGGAACTCTTTCCTGAAGCAATTCCAAAAAAGGAAATCTTTTATTTGAAGATAGTAATATTGCAAAGAGCTAAATTTGATAATTCCAAAAAAGCCCTGTAACCATTATAGCTATCAAAATCCTAAGCGGTGCATAACTCAAAACAAAGATAGATTTGATATCCAGTTTAAGCATATGCAGCGCTGAACAGGAAATTCTACAGTGTTAGTAGCTATCTGTACATGCTTGTGCCATTGATATGTATCACTTGTGGCACCACACAATCATGCTGCAATATTAATCATCATCTGTATATGCTTATGCTATTGAGATGATAATTTAGTAAGAAAAATTGAGAATGATATTGGACAAAAAAAAATCAGCCTTATGTCATCAATCCATATAGTAAATTAGTGAGTCAAATTGATAATAATAAACTGCCGGTTTGCCTGAGATTTTTTATCCCTAGAAAAAAACTGCAAAAGGCTGCAAATAAGTAGTCCGTGGTGAGGCTTAGGAAGTAGAGCAAACTATATCATGCCTCAACAATCAACCAGAATGACGAACATATGTTTTTACCAAGGGGTTGATGCCTATACTGGTCATTGATCCTAATGATAGAGAAAATTTCTCAAGACAGCACAGAGAATTAATCACACACAAAGATATTAAGAAATTAGATTAAAACTTACTGTTTAACTCGCTTTGAATCCATCTCTGTCTGCTTAGAATGAGAGTCTTCCTTAATTTCAAAGGGACCCTTTTTATCCTGGACACCATCTAGGTGCTCATTCTTTTCAACAACATCTGGGTTTAATCCATCAGATTCTGTCTGAACACAGGATGGCTGGGGATGAATCGTCTTGTTGTTTGCCAAGAGAGTGCTGCCAGGGTAGCTGACAACATCCGCGGCCGATTCCCATACTTTGAGTTGAGGCCTTCCAGATGAATTTGCCTCTGGATAATAAGAAAAATGTCCTACATCTTTATGGTGATTGAGTTCCTGCGACATCCAAGGAGATAGTGCTGGAAAGCTCTGTTGCTCCTGACCTACACTACCAACGTTGGACAAACTGACTCCATCCAAGTATGCAAAAGAGTCGCTTGTTGAACGACGATGAGCTCCTCTCCTCACCGGCGTCTCTGGTTCATTAAGCAAGTCATCGAGCCACAGAGGTTGCTCCTCAATGAGAAAGCTCTCAGAGGAAGTACGCTGGTGTCTCTGACCATCTTTTGGTCTTGGGATGCCTCTGGGTCCTATAGATCCATAGTCACCGTAGGATGGGGATACGGTTGGAAGAGGGCATCTTGGAGGAAGAAACGACTGTTTCCCACCGGGCGCTGAGCTCCTCATGTTAGCAGCAGCTCTCATATTCGCCATCAACTTATTACAGACCCAAACTGGTGAGATTGAACAAAGCATAACAAAGTGCAACAGAAATAAAGAATTAAAAGCCAAGTGCTGAGAGATCAAACTGCTGCACGAATGAGAATGAACGTAAAATATCGACAAAAAAATAAAATTGCTTTCGATTTTCACAAGAAGAGAGTGTCGTCATATGCATCTCAACGCCACATTTAGATCCCAGAAGAAAGGTCCACGAGAAAGTAAATGCCGATCCAAAAACTCGGTCATTCCATACAACGAAACGCCCAAAAGATCGCGTTTTGAGATTGGTCCCTATAGAGATCAAGAAAAACCGAGTACTTTAAGACGAAATAGCATATGATTCTCTACATCTCGAAATCATGCAAGTAAAAAAAAGCGTGGAAACCGAAAACTCAAGCTTAAAAACGTCCAATAAAACGAAAAATCGAGCAAAGAACACCCGAGTCACATAAAAATCTAATTTGTATTGACATTTATTCCCAAGATCCGAAGGACCGCAAGAAAACAAAAGGGAAATCTCAGAACCAGAACCACCCGAATCAAATCGGTCAGAGCCGAAAGAAAGGGACGGGAATGATCGTACCAAATCAACACGAATCCTCGGCTCCTCCCCGATTCGGCTCACCGGGATCAAACCCTAAAAGATGGACCTTTTAGGATTTGAAACAGAGATAAAGGAGAGAGCTCAGAGAAGGAGGGACAGAGAGAGAGAGAGAGAGAGAGAGAAAGGCGAGCTTAGAGAAAAAGGGGAAGGGAAGAAGCCGAGACAAAGACACGAGAAGTTCAACGAATCGCCTACAATATCGCGCCTTCTGGTATCGCGGAGGACGAGGTGTCCTCACCGCTGTGAGGTTACCGCAGCCACACTGCGGTGGCGAGCGCCGTCGGATTCGGGGATCGGACGGTCGAGGGACGGGGGGGGTAAGCGGAAACGGCCGGGGTCCGTCGAAGGTCAGGTGCGACGCACGTGCGGGGAAGGCCAGTGGCGAATGATGCGTTGCATGTGAGGAACCACAACAGCACCAGCGTTGACAGCTGTGGAGCGCGTACGGCCGCGTTGGGTTGGCTCAATAATAGGGATGAGAGGTGCCAACGTAGGCACAGCCCATTGCGATTGGGGAATGGCACGCGCGCCCCCACATGCATTCACCAAGCCATGTCATGTGACATGGCAGCGAGTCTTCTTTGCACTCACTAGTCGTTCTTTGGTTTCAGGGTTTGAAAGCATAATAATAATAATAATGATGATGATGATAAATTTCTAATATCTTAATTATTCAGAATTAATTATATGGATCTTTTGTTGTTATCGTTGAGCTTCCTAAAATATTATATTTTTATTAAATTATTAATATTTAAAGTTATAATTTTTAATAAAATATTCTGATGTCTTCCTTTTTATCTCTTTGTTGAACGTAAACTACATTGAGCTATCTCGAGAAACATAATAGAATAATAGAATAAACACATTCCAAGAGCCATGACAAAGAAGACACTGCTTGGTGTAACTACGAGTCTTCTTTGACTTACTAGGTTGGTACAAGCACGAGTGGGGGAGAATCATAGATTTCATTTTTATGGTTTATAATAATAATAATAATAATAATATTTTGATTATTTAGACTCGTCAATCTTTTATCACTGTTAAGTTGCTAGTCATAGCTATCCTATAAATCAATCACGTCAGATATGATATACTTTTTTTTATTTATTATATTATTTAATATTTTTATTATTTTATATTAAATATATTGTGATATCTATAGATCTATGCAATGAGAATCGGATCGTGATGAGATCACGATAATGAGACTGATTCACCTTTAAACAAAGATCTTAAATGATCTCGATCATATGTTGCCCGAGAGGGATATTGAGATAACTGGACAGACTAGTGTACTATATACCCGTGATGTGGCTGGTCTCATAGTTGCTTATGTGGGGACGTTAGGAATACAGTGTAAGTGCTCGTTGGAGAATGAGTTTACTGATTGATCCATTCACAGAATGCTAGATGGTTGATGATGTCTAATTGTCATATAACGATTCCTTAGTCCTGGTGGTGTATATGGTCATTAGACTTGAGACATTAAGGATGTCCTATATGTGTACTCTACTCTTTGATACCAAACTTATAAGTCTGAATGTTCTAGATCTAACACAATCGATCATCGAGAGTGATAGCCAACATTACGAGGGCTATTATATGTCGATAGAGGATCATCCGCTCTCGATGTCATGAGAAAAATATCTCATGTGTTCTTGTTCAGACAAATCATTGGCTAGGGTCATTTAGATCGAGAGAGAAAGAGTTATCCGGGAGAATCTGATTAAAGTGAGACTCGATGAGAAATTATATGAGCTTGACATACCATGCCCCGTATATGATCTTTGAGGTATTAGATAGATAAAGGACTATAGATACATGGTAATTGAGGATAGACCGGTACAATAGATTGGGTTCTCCTATATTGCCTATGGATTGCGACGTAATGACCTAGTACGTCCGGAATTGATGAGTCGAGTGAATTATTATTGAGATAATAATTTACTGTGCTAGAAGGAGTTTTGACATGTATGACTCACGGCCAGCTCGATATTGGGCTTAAAGGATCACACACATATGGTAGGCGCTGTGATGAGTAAAGATTCATATATGAGATATCTATCAAAGCTCATGTTATTAGATATCCAATAAGCCCCTGAATTATTGGATCATATGGATAAGATCCAATAAGAGCCAATGAGAGACTATTAGATATAAATTCATTAACCTAATAGGTTTGGGTAATTGGATGGAGATCCAATACTCAATAGGGCAGGATCCATTAGGGTTAAGTTGATAGGAAATTTTTATAAATAGGAGGGAACCAAATGCTCATAAGCTAGAGATCTCTTGATTGCCACATCTTATTCTTCTCTCTTGATAGTAGGCTTGGAGATTTGATGAGCGTTGTCATAGCTCTATTGTGTGGATCATCGCTAGAGATAATGACGTTTGACCTATTTTACCCTCTCTTACAAATCTATGAGGATATAGGGATATACGATCCCCCTAGGTAAAATATTATCTTTCATATACGTAGTTTTCAATTTTTTGGATTTTGTACACCAATATTCGCATGTTGACAAACACAATTTAGAAAATTTAAGGATTTTTATTTTTTATTATTCTGATACGTCTCTAGATATCTCTATATAAGCTTCATACACTACTATGTTTTCTTATTAAATTTAGGAGTATTATAGATTTTTATTATAGTTTTCACTAAATTCTTATTAGCTCTTCTCTTATTACTCGTCAAGCCACTAATAGTATCGATTAGATTTAGGATTTAAAAATATGAAATCATAATCGAACCCAAATTCCTTAAATCGACATAAGAATTCATTGATCTAATGTCGCCATTATTCAGTCGTAATCTTTTCCAAATCTCACATTAATGAAAAATTTATACGTGCTTAAACTACTGACCCAATATACTTAAAACTTAAAAAACAATAATAATAAACTCATTTTTCAAGTCATATAAATCGATTCAATTCTTCTCTTACAATTTATAATTATCACATTGCAACTCAACACCACCACATATCAATCTAAACCTAACCCTGGTTAAACAATGTTGGTCATTGTCCTACCTAAAATCATTCCCAAAAGTCATAAGGGGTTGCAACCCACATCGAAATAAACTATCATGTTAGTTTGGTCAACTTCTCCTATTGGATGTACTTATCATGTCTCTCATGACGAGCATATGATAACTGTACAACTTATAATTTCTTTAGGGCAATGATGAACAACACCACATTTCTGGCATATTTAAATGATTAGTAATGTCATTGTTTCCTTGCTGTGCACTCTCATTATATCATTGTGGTTGGTAAACCAGTGGGCCAATAATTTCTATGTTGCTTATTAATTGATTGTCAACTAAGCTACTGAGTGACTCATTTTTCATTAATTTACAGATAAAAAAATTCTCACAACTCCTGATAGAATATCCCTATAAAAAGAGTAGGTTTTTTCGGTATGAATATAGCAAACTAAAAATCAAGCAAAATTATTTTTGTCTTGAGTAATTTTATTCTCTAGACATCGTCGATGAAATCTTTTTGATGCTTAAATTAATATATATGTGATGTGAAAAATTTATCGATGTATAATTTTATACTTGTGATGATCATATTATAGGGTTATGGTATATGTTCAACAAATATTTATTTATTTTATTAGATTTACAATTTGATGTAATATGATAAATAATCTCTTTAAGTATTTAAAAATAAAATTATATATATTAATTATTTCTAAATTAACCATAGCCTTATGCACATGTGAATGTTAAGATAATGATAATAATAATAATAATAATAATAATAATAATAATAATAATAATTATAATTATTATTATTGTTATTGTTGTTGTCGTCGTCGTCGTCGTCGTCAGTAGTATTGTTGTTGTTAGTGTTTATTTAATGCCACATGACGTTGGCTACGGCTACTCCAAGCACAGGTCAGCATCTGCTCTCGTTGACCACGACTCCCCTTCTCCAATGGCGGACTGCGAAGGACTGGCGGCCTGATCCAAGGTGAATGAGGCCGGGGGAGGACAAAGGAGGGATGAGCAAAGAAGAAGAAGAAGAAGAAGAGGAGGAGGAGGAGGAAGAGAAGACGAAGAAGAAGACTAAGGATAAGGATCGCTCTGCGATAAGGTTGGCCGTCGAGGAGCTCTCCCTGGTCGAGCATCAGGGGAAAGCTTCTACCTTGGCCTTTCTCGCCGTCTCCAACCTGCTCTTGCAATTCCTTGGTACGCATCTTCTTTCTCTCTCCCTCTCTCTCTCTCTCGTCTCTCCTCTTCTCTAGGGATTCTCATGTAGAACTACACGGCCAGGAAGATTTAGCTTCTTTGCCATCTAATCATCGTCTCTTCCTTCCCAATTTAGTGGTTTCGGTTCATCGAGTAAATGACCTACGGATATCCATGGATAGATTTGAAAGGCCGTGATTTCTGAAACATCTACCATCACCTAATTGGATATACCGAATCTATAGCTCCTGCAATATGCTTTTATGGAACTGAGAACATGTAAAGAGTGAATTCGAACGGTTGTGTGAATCGATGGATTACTGGTGTGCGTGCAGATAAGATTGGACCGACCGTGGCCGTCCTGAGGCACGACATCCGGCGGAATATCGAGGTAAATCCATACCATTGTTTTACTTTTCTCCCTACTCTGCAACCTTTCGAGTCTCTAGTGTTATCCAAATTGTTGTAAGATTGTGCCTTTTCCCTCTCCTTAGTGCGCAGGACATGTGTTCGACACAATGTGGTTAACACCTCGTTCATAAGCTTGTGGTTTGGATTGAGAAGTAAGGCATATACGGGTCCAATTTATTGCTAATGCGAACATAATCAATTAACTCTTCCAATTCACTGGCTAGCAGTCACCTTTTCTTTTTCACCTCAGAGATATAAGTCTTTCCTTGTTTTCATTCTGAAGGATGTGAAAACTAGGAAATGTGCAGGTTTTAATCCGTTAGAAGGGTGCTTGTCAGCCTTATTTACCTGCTAAATGGAAGAACGTTTTTGGCTTTGAGATGAGAATAAGATCTAAGCCATACGACAAACAAATTGAGAACAAAATTGTCATATGGTGGTCGGATCTTTTATTAGCGGTCCAAGGCCGGTGTAATTTATCGCTGATGTGTAGTCTCATCTGCTCCTGTTCGACACCTTTGTCCAATTTGAAACATCAATATCCTTCTTTCTCTGGGACCATTTGATGCTTGTGTCTTCCACACAGTACCAACCTAGGGTCACCAAAATAATACAATGACCACCAGAGGGTGACAGCAACCTCATCCCAACCAAGCAGGATCTGCTGCAAGGAATCTGGGAACTGAGTTCCTTGAAACTTCAACATCCTCATGCCATATGTTCTTTGTCAGTACCACATACAGCAAACTGGATAATTTCATTATTTTCTAAAATGTCCTTCTAGGGTTAGTGATGAGCGTTAATTATCAACTCTGATCCATAAAGTCTGATGTGCTTATTATATACGGCAATACCTCATGTTGTACATGGTTTACAAGCTCAATCATCATTTCACAAATTTTGTCATTGGTAGGCCTTGGTATTCTAAGTACTGCAAGTTACTTTTATAACATCAAGTAAAATATGCTTTAAAGTCATGAAGCACACAACCTATACTATTTTTTTTTCTTGAATAGTTAAATTCCAAATAAAACGATTTCACTGACATAATCAGACCACAGATATCAAATATTGTTAGAAACAAAAGAAAATGTTCATATTGCACCACATAAGTGGCATTTAGTATATGTGTCAGCATGACACTAATTTGCTAGGATGCAGCAATTGCCTACATGACCATGTTAACGTGCCAAGAATTGCTACTTCTATAGAGATTGGAAGATGTATACGTTTTGGACGCATCGGGTTACTCAAGTTTGGTAGATATAATCAAGAAAGAAGTGAGCGAGGGAACTGCAAGGAAGTCTGATAGCTGTACAAGAGCTACATTATGGCTTACTAGGTACAAGGTTGACGACCTTTCCAATGCTTTCTTCTTTCCTGCTTATGCCTGTCCATGGAATTTCAACACTCATTTCTGTATATCGTTTGATGTTTTTTGGCATTTTTCACGAGTGCACTATTATCTCTCAGAAATTCCATGAACACTTTTTTCTGGAGAAATTAAAAGAGTGTGCTCTTCCATCCTCCAAAATTCATATTTCTCCTTGGATTTATTAGTATGAATCTACTAACTATAGCTTAATGTCTCAACGCAATATGACACTATATAGATATTATATTCATAAACATTATACTAGTTGTAAAACTTATGGTGTTCATTTTCTACTTCTATTTTTATAAATGTATTCTGAGTTTCAAACATTGTACATATGGCTCTAGATATTGCATATCTGATTAAACCACCACAATAAATTATTCACTTGAAAATTTGTGCCTATAATTGATACTGTGGATACATGTTCTTAATCATCATTACATCAATATCATGATAAATAACATATATTTTGGTTTCATATGCTATGATATATAATGTAAATATCATGTTTTTCATTGTGGTATTTACAACTTAAACATTATACACTCTGTGATGAGTATGTTAATTCTTTTATAATGTGATATGTTTGTACAATGATACATAATATATATTGGTTTCATATACTATATATAGAATGCAAGTAATACGCTTCTTAACACAGCACGTATAGGTAAAAGCTTGATATGCATTGCAATGATTGTGGTGGCAATGATGATAGGTTTGATATATTTGTAAAGGGTATGATGCCACTAGCTAGAGGTGATTGTCAAAATGATGGTGCTAGTGGAGATGACAAAGTGATTTGGTGATATTGATGAGAAGTGTGTGGTAGCCATGACATATGTGGTGGTATTAGCAACGACATCATCGTGAGAGGCAAGTCAATGTCAGGAGCAGTAGTAAAGGTGATGATGAGAATGATGCTAGTGTGAGAAACTCATAGGACGATTTGTAATGATGATCGTCTATGATGAGGAGGCAGCATACAAGCCAAGGAGGTGGTGCTAATAGTGTCATTGTGGTAAAAAAAGATGACAAAATGGGAAAAAGAAGGCGACAAATATATTTTCCATATAACAGGTGTTTTTTTTTTACAAATCCGTCTCTACCTTTTGATTGATGGTTTCAAATCCCACTAGTCCTTTTAAAACCACAGGTGTTGATATCCATTTATAGTTTCATATTATAGAATCCAAAGGCAATTTACTTTTTAGAGGACATGAGACATGTACCTGCGATTTCTCCAACAGGACAATTGTGGCATTTCTGAAAGATAACGACACCTTCATGCAAATTGTTCAATTTTTTATTTCTGTTGGTTACATCTTTCTGGTTTTCTATATGAAAAGCTTTAAATAAATATATTATCATAATTCTTTTGCCTTTGTTAAGCCATTATGTTCTCTAGCAAATCCATGTGCCATCCTGTCAACTAGTGTATTGTTGTTATATTGCTGGTGCCTCTCATACTTCAGATGTTTTTTATATCAGGTCCATGGATTTTAGTGTTGCACTACTAGAGATACTAAATAAGGATTCTGAATTGAGTCTTCAACAAGTTGTTGAAGAAGCATATAAGACTACACTAAAACCATGGCATGGTTGGATCTCATCTGCTGCTTACAAGGTAGTGAATGTATCCATTTGATGTCTAAAGTTTTCTCTTGTTGCTAGAATGCACTTTTAAATACTCTACTGTGATCCTTGTCTTTGTCGTATATAATAGAGGGAGTAATTGCACTGTTGGCCTCAGCATTACACCTTGATATTTAATACTATATATCTTTTTGTCAATTTTATCCATATACTGATTATATATTAACCAAGTTGGTCCTTTCATCATAGATTTGCCCATATGGTTAATGTCGTTGTTTGGCCAGATTAAAATACGCCATCACATCTTTCTTCTCTTCCCATCCTCCTCTTCTAACTTCTCCTAGTAATTTTTTCCCTCATTTGCCACCACCAAACTCAAGCACCTGACCCACAAAAAGAACAGCAAAGCAAAAAGGGATGAGGGAGGGGTCCATACCACCTCATTGTTTTCAGATAAGCTCCATGAGTGATGTTTAATAATTATTCATTTGTTTTCCTTTGTAACACGAAACAGACTCTACAGAAGCATGCTAAAAGAAAATTCTTATCAGTATATTTAAGTTTTTATTTGCAAAGACAATTCTATAGAAAAATTCTGTTTGAGAAATATTTTGGCGCTGTGTCAAGCGAACTCATGAAGCTTAAGGGGAGCAAACAACATATTAGTGTGTTCTTTTCAGCAGATCAGTTTGTTTTCATTAAGCCCAATATACTTAGGTGCAACTTAGTGTCAATTCATAAGTACAAAGCCCTCTTAACTCCAGAATGCAGATTTTGTCAATGAAGTTCCAAAATGTTGTGTTTAAAACTGCTCTCGGAGTAGGTTGTCTGGAATTTGGGATTGTGTGTTTGTTCTTCTTTGATCAAAGTTGAGCAGAAAAGGAAATGAAAAATTATCTGATCAACAGGTAGCTTTGAAGCTCATCCCAGAGAAGAAACTATTCATCAGCTTGCTAATGGGTAAGGGGCAAGATCAGAACATGTTGAAGCCCGATATCCAGAACCTGGTCTCATTAGTTCAGCCTCTTCTAACTGATATCCATGCCAACTTGGTTAGTGTGCTTCTTTTTCTATTGGATAATTCTTTTCAGTAACCACCAGTGAGTTTATTAATAAGCTGATTGTAATGCCTTTTCATTCTTGAAAATACAGAAAAAGCTTCGGCTCGACAGATTGAAGTCGACCTAAAACACGAAATCCATCTCGATCAATCTTCATGTACATTCTCCAACTTTTTCCTGTAATTATCTCTGAATCCCTTTTTTTTTCTTGTTCTGTATATTTAAATCAGTTTCAGTTTTCTTGATAGTCATGCAACCTCATCTGCAACCAGGAATCATGTGATGTTACTTAAATGGCAGAAAAGCATATCTGTTTTAGCAACTATCATATTGTGCAATGTATATCCTGCGTAAGAAATTTGCTTTTTCTTGATCATTGTGATTTTTTTAACGGACAAATAATTCTGACAAAGTTATCTTAAGCCAAGAATTGGATTTACAGGTAGAAAATCTGCGGATGACCATTGGATTCTTCCTCGATTTGTGATCCTAATCTTTTTTGTTGTGTAAATATGGATGAGAAGACGTAACTATGGGAAGGTAGCGTAGTAGATTTAGTGCATGCATACACATCCAGCTCGAGAACAACGGTGTCATAGTGCCCTTATAAGTCTTGGAGAGGACGTAGCTGCGGGCCATGCAGAACGGCTCGCTCCCTCCCACCACCGGCAGCTCCGCCGCATCCGGGAGCTTCGGGTAGATGGAGGAGACGGCAAGCGAGCCGCATTTGTCAGGCTCGCCGTTACTATGGGAGGCCACGACGTGGGAGCCCCGAGCGCGTCCGACGAGCTTCGACGTGAGGCCCGGCCATCGGGCCAGCGGATCATCGACGACGATGGTGTTCCCGTAGTAAGACTTCGGTTTCGATTTCGGTTCATATTTTCGATTCATTTTGGTTTCGGTTCAGGACCGGTTCGGTCCAAACCTAATAAGGTAGCCCAATAAGCCTTTTCCCGTTCTCAGCGGCAATCTCGTGATTCGAGCGCCAGAAAACCCTCCGTCGATTCCGTTCGCCTGTGACCATCCTCAGTGGCAATCTTGTAATACGATGGCCATCAACCCTAGGTTGATTCCGTTCGCGCACCTATATAACCCCGAGATACCGGCGACGCCCGGTCTCCTCTGTCGTCACATCGCGTCGCAACTCGAGCCCTTCGAAGATGTCGAAGCGAGGTAGGACTCCCATCTCCGTTTGGATTGCTATTGATTCTTTTGTTGCTTCTGCGATCCGGCTTCTATTCGAGAACCAGTCGAGATCCAAGGTTTAGGGTTTTATGTGGAGTTGTTTGACCGGGATTTGCTTCGGCGGGGTTTGCTTGCAGGGCGCGGAGGAACGGCGGGGAACAAGTTCCGGATGTCGCTGGGTCTGCCGGTGGCAGCGACGGTTAACTGTGCCGATAACACGGGGGCGAAGAACCTTTACATCATCTCCGTGAAGGGGATCAAGGGCCGTCTTAACCGCCTTCCCTCCGCTTGCGTCGGGGATATGGTCATGGCCACCGTAAAAAAGGGCAAGCCCGACCTGCGGAAGAAGGTCATGCCCGCCGTCATCGTCCGCCAACGCAAGCCATGGCGCCGAAAGGACGGCGTCTACATGTATTTTGAAGGTTTGTTGAATGGCTTCCATTTGCAAGTTCTTTATATTGTTTTCTAATTTGGTTGTGAGCCTTTTAATGCTTTCGTTACAACTTTGCCGATGACGTGTTCTTTATGATTACATCCGGCAAGATAGATAGCTTCGAACTGTAGTATATAGAAATTCCTTTATCTTGTCAAGTTAATTGATGTAGATGTTTGAGATAATATTGACATGATATAAATGTTGGTGATAATCTTCTACATAGTTGATTTACTTGATCAATATCATTCTATATACTATATAGTAGGTTTACCTGATCAATTTATTACAAGCTTGCAAAAATTGTTATGAATTTGAGATGAAAAATTTATTATCTTTATATGTGACTGTAGGATGAGTGTGAAATTTCATCGCTTTTAACTGTCCATATATTCATTTTGTTAGAGGAAAATAAATGTTTACCGGTTTTGGTTTTCCTAGAGTAAAGAGAGCTGTTTACATTCTGGGAGAGCGGCACTCAGCTGTATCAAGGCTTAATATGGTTTAAATCTGAAAGTGCTAATGCTTTGCTCAGGCTCCATTCTGCAAAAAGATCTGAACCCATTTCAGATTGTATCAGATAATCTGGAATATAGTGTTGTTGAAAAGTCTAGGTGCTTTAAAATTGCTAGGTATTATACATGTCCAAATTATGGTTTCCTTGGATTTTCACAGAGGAGCTCAGAAGTGATACCTCTTTAAGGTGATTCTGGAGTGCTTCACATTTAGTTGGATGACCACACTGGTCTTCAGAAGTAGGTATCTGGTCTTTTTGTCGTTTTAGCTTTTGGTTTTCTGCCCATCACACTCTCCCTCCCGATATTTTTGGGGTCTTGGTCTGAACTGTTACACTATTCAGTATGGTGTTTGTTTGTCCTTCCATTTCCTTGAATGCTTATCTATATTAATCTGCAATATTTTTGTCATCTAGTCACTAACATTGTTTATGTATATCATATGCTTTTAGTATCTAGTCATTTACCATTTGCTGGTTTTGTGTTGCAAGCCTTTTTCTACAACTGTGATGATATATTTGCAGATATCATAATCTACCAGTTTTGAGAGAAGATCATTTCATTATGTGATGGGTTTATCACTTTGAATCTCATAGTGCAAACATATTGCTTTTCTTAATATTCTAGGTGCAAAGCACGAACTTCAGAGTATCTTTTGTTTTTTTGTCAGAAATGCCCATTGTTCCCTTTTATACTTCCAGCCATTTAATGCTTTGACCTTCCATATTATACAGATAATGCTGGAGTGATTGTTAATCCCAAAGGTGAAATGAAAGGTATGTTTGATGAAGCACAGATATTCTTTTCACTCCAAAAGATGAAAAAGCTTAATTCCTTAATGATATAATAAGCCAAGTGAAATCTTAAATTTTGGCAAAATGTCTTGCTTACTGTACCTCAACTTTATTGCCATGAAACAATCGATACTTTTTTAGTCAAAACATGCTATTACCATAACATATTTTCCTTTCACGGTCTATTTCAGTTCTTGTTGTTTCGAGGGCTTGAACTTAATAGTATTCTGTTAATTGTCATATTTGCTGCAGGATCTGCTATCACTGGACCCATCGGGAAGGAATGTGCAGATCTGTGGCCGAGGATTGCCAGTGCAGCAAATGCTATCGTGTAACATGATGATGCTTAAGATCAACAGCTGAGGTTTTGGATTATGATTATATGTTTCAAGAGATAGGTATCATGTTGTCTTATTTGGTTACTGGTTAGCTGATGTTTACTAGGTGTTCAACTTTATGGATCTGATGTTCAGCTGTTGCTGGAGACATTTTAATTCTACTTGATCTATTTATGATGTGCTTCAGAAAGAAACTGAGAAATTATTGATGTTCTAATCTTATGGAAGTGACAGAAATGATAGGTTGAACTGTGATGGGAACTGAAATTCCAGAATAATAAAGTTTAATTTGATATATTTGGTTTATGTACTAGGACATCAGAGTCAGAATGGTTGCACAGTTGGTTTATGGCTCTTCAATGATCAAAATCAGGATTAACTGTGATTTAGGATTGCAATCAAGATTAAGGTTGGCTAATTTTCTCTTTTTTTTTAATCTTTTATGTTCTTGCTAGTTGAGTAAATCTGAAATTGTTTATTGGTTTTTAAAGGATGTTATTTTAGTTTTAAATTTGAGTGCATGTTATTGTACATTGGAAAATCTCAAGGAAATGAGGGTGAAATTACCTTGATCCCAGTATTGTGAATCACTGATTCCCCTCATTATTTGACACTTTTTTTTTAAAGAAAAGGATGTATTAATTTAATAGCAAAAGCATACAAACTTGTCGGAGGCAAATTCTCTCTCCAGAAAACTTGGGAATTGTGAAGTTATGTCACGCGCCTCGTTAAGCAATCAAATTTTGAGCTGCCATTTACAAATATATAATCTTTTGGTTGATATAAAAATTTGGTACCAGGTTAGTTTGCACTGGACATTACTCTAGAAAACAGATGGATCATTCTTATAATAATCTGGGATTAAGATCTTTAGTACCTTTTTTCCGAAAATTTTCTCTTATTAAATTGACAAAATGTTTCTCTTTAACTTCTTTTATATTTTATGTTGCAGTATTTGATAGTCATGTAAAGCAGACTGTTAATTCTAGTGATCTTTTTTTTTTTTTGTGAATAGATTGTTAATTTTAGTCACTTGTTGACAAACCTGTAAATGTCTTCTATGACTTGAAAATTTAGAAATTCTCTATTATTGAGTGGTTGTATATTGTCTATGAGGTGAACATGACCAATTTCTTCTTTCCATAGAAGTATCCTAAGCTGCCACAAAACAATCAAGTGTATTTGTTGACACATTAATCTTTGTTCTCTTATTTAATACACTATGCATGCTAATATTATCTGCTAAGGTCTTTTAGTTTTCTTTCCCTGTTGTGTAGAGTCGCTACTGCATTGTGCAATTTCTTTATATTTTCTCTATCACCCTTTTCATTTCTAATTGTGCATACGATTAATTAGTTCGCAAATATTCTCATTTTCCTCGTAAAAAGAGAAAAAAAAAAAGGCTGCTAAGCCCAGGGCATAAAATAAGTGATGCCCACTGGAACATGATAAGATAAAAAATGTTCAATTATTAGCTAATTTAAAGTAAGTGATAAAAAAATTCGACTTGTAGGAAGGCTCAAGTATTTTTTTTCCCTAAAGAGATCTAAGCACCTGTTAACTTTGAAGTTCTCAAATGTTTTTTTCACGTTATATGTTTATCTCCTGGCCATCATTGCAAGTGCCATAGTAAATATTCATGTGTGTGTTTGTGTGTTTCATGATACGTTCAAATGGATGGAATTTTAACATCCCACATGAGAATCATGTGTTGCATCATCCTAGTACGTGTCATCAGCGTCAATGAAATCTTATCCATGGTTTACGGAACAGTCTTGGATGAACTCTTCGACTTTGCATACTGGTGATACTTGCTCTATTTTCCACTTTCTCAAGCTGAGTGAGTAGCTGTCATGCATGTTCTTTTTGTATGCTGGGTAAAGTATATGTTCCTTTTACCATCAAATATAACAGCTGCATACTAGCAAGATTTTTAGCACCTCCTCCACTTGGCATGTTCTTTTCCGTTCCTAAGAGCTCAGCTGGTAGCCTTTGCAGGAGAATAGGAGAACCTGCCAAGTGAAGACATCTTACTTGACGACTCTCGTTCTTCAGCAAAATCTGTATTCACAGGTTTGGTATCTCACTTGTCGTCTTCATACTAAATTTTCTCTACTCTATGATGATCAGAGAGAGAGAAAGAGTTGTGTGGTGATCCAACTGGGTCCATTGATCTCGAGTGTGCTTTGATGGATCTGAAAGAAGTCCTGTCCGTGATCTCATTCCAAAGTCAATCTCTTTTACTTTCACCAGATGATGACATGAGGATCCCAACAAAGACCTGACAGCCCAGGTGGAATGGACAATCCACCTGACAGAGTCCATCTTGCAGGATCTTGGCATTTGAAAGCCTGACAGAAAGTACTGAGAGCAGATTTAGATCTCTGCTGTTGGGTCTTTCTTTTTAGGTGGGGCATCCAGGAAAAGAGTGCTTTGGTGGACCTCCGCATGTCATCACAATTGAATAGAAATGCTTATCATAAAGTGAAAAAGGAAGTCTCAAATACATAGGCTACCATTAAACTTGCAAGTGCAGGACAACTCTTGATTCAGATAAAAGCTTTCCCCCATCTATTTGTCGGCCACTTTGTTGGTGTTGCAATGCCTTCCTCAATTGGCTCCCTTTGTCATACTAGCTTGCCCTAGGTTAATGATAGTTGCTGCAATATACATGTATTTAACCTAATTATGCTCCATTACATTGGTGACACGTCTCACACCTACCGAGTGAGATCTTGGGAGATCCTATTGAGACTGTGCCACACAAATCTCTCATGAGAGGCACATTGTCCATTAGTTAATGTCTGATTTTTCCATTATTTAACGACTATGATCACTGTAGAAACTGTTCTATTGATGTGATGGGATCTACACTTTTGAGCCATATTGATTTGTGTGAGTGAGCATATCACAGAGAAAGTTTTTTAGAATGATTTGGGAACAGATGCATTACTATTAAATTAAGTCATGCGATTTTGTCTTTACAGAATTAAAAATCAATTGTCCAGCATCTTCTTTTCAGTAGTTTCTTAAAGACCACAATATCATGATATGTAGTGAGGATTTTGGTGCCTCCACATAAGACAAATAAACTACAAGTATATTATTATCACAATAAGTTCTTGTTGTCAAACAAATTTCTGATATGGTTGATGAAAAAAACTAGATAAAATAAATCTCATAGAACCACAAATTTAGGGTACTAAACTTTCCTTTTGAGCTTTGGCCACTGGGAAGTAGTGGTCAATAGATGGTACTTGGGAGTTGTCCAATCCTAATCGGTTGGCTGGTTTGGATGAGAACTGGTACTCGTCAAAGAGGAAGCAAATGGATTGATGGGTCAAACTTGAGTTAGGGTGCTGCTGCATAACTTATCCTTGAAAGAACAAAGAACTAGCTTGCTGTTTTGGACTAACACACTTCTGTCAATGCACATAATGTTCTAGAAAAGCAAACAGTAGTGGAGAACATACTCGATAGGATAAAATATGATGATGATGATGATGATGATGTTGCAACAGTACAAGATAGGCATAGTTAATCTGTATGGTCTAAGAGCAATCCACTGACTTGGTCCATGCATTTCTTTTTCTCACTTGTGATGCACTTACAGCAATAAAATCTCAAAAACAACACCAAAGATGCATCGTCTCAGATACATTGTCTCCTTCCTCATCTGGAGATACAGAAAAGGCAAGTTTTAGGAATGACTTATTTGCAGACTATGAGAAGAAGTGAAGCAGATAGGATACTTAAAGCTTAAAGCTTTGTCAGTTTCTTAATTACCCTCTCTCTCTCTCTCTCTCCCTCTCTCGCCATCCTTTGCATCGGAACTATATATATATATATATATATATATATATATATATATATATATATATATATATATATATATATCGATGAAGCTTTCATCCTTGTGAGATATCAGACTCCATGCCATGCGTCTCATCCTACCACTTCATGCAGGTCACATCCCTTGTGAGAGCTCAAGCATGATGGAAGGAGAGGGGAAGAAGAGTGAAGAGAAGAAAGATGATGGAGGAGCAGCTCTACGACCGTCACAACATGAAGAACAAAAGGCCAAGGTGGTATTTTGTTCATCTTCTTCGTCGTCGTCGTTGTCTCCTACGCTTGAGCTCAACCTCATCGAGTCGCTGGTCTCAGTACCCTCGGAGCCACCACCGGCGGAGGCAACAACCGAGTTGGAGCCGCGGGTATTCCCCTGCAACTACTGCAGGCGGAGGTTCTACAGCTCGCAGGCGCTCGGCGGGCACCAGAACGCGCACAAGCGCGAGCGCACCCTGGCAAAGCGTGGGAGCCACGGCGCAGGCTTTGGCGAAGCCAACTGCGGATACGTACCGAGCATGGCTTCGTTGCCGCTCCGAGGGACGTACGCCGGCAGGCCGCTCGGCATACAGGCGCACTCGATGGTCCACAAGCCGCACAAAGTGACGTCACCGCCGCTGGCCGCTGCGATGTTCTACGGCCAACATGGCTGGTCGATTTCTCCGATAATTAGCCGTCGACCGGAGGTAGGACGCATCTCCACGGAGGTCATCCATGCCACAACAATACCTCCGCCGGTGCAGCTCAACGACCCCGCTGCCGCCGCCGCCGCCGCCGCTGCTGAAATGATTCAAGAGGTTGGTGGTAATCATCTGAACAGTAGGCGAGAGAAGTTGCCTAAGCTTGACTTGTCCCTCAAGCTCTAGCGCTGTTGTCTCTCTCTCTGCCTCTCTCTGGGAATGGGAATGCTCCTAATTTTCAGTCGGCTTATGCAATCAATCTTATAGCTTTAATTAGTCCCCTTCTTTTGGATTCTGACTTGTTGATACAAGATTTGAAGTTGAACTCACTGCTAATCTGGAACTTAGAATTGAATAATAATATATCAAGCAAAAATCGTAATATTGATGTTTTAACCTTATCACTTCAAATCCGGAGATCTAAATTATCAGTGTCTTATACATCTTTATTTGGTTTATCTTAATATCACAATCTTCAGGTCATGGACTATATGATCATATGAAGTGGTTGGCTCTGTGTTGCCTCTCCTCTTTTGACTTGCTTGCAAGCATTACCCCCATTGCTTTACGTGTAGACTGTTCTTTTGATCACTTCCTACATGTAAAAGAAGGCAAAAGCACAATTTAACAGAGCTATATCATCTCTTTCTCGAGTATTCGATCAATATACACTATCAAAATACTTAGAGCAACATGGAAATAAAATGTTTGTGACTCAATTCCTTTTATTCCTTTCTCTGCTGTCTCCCTGTCAGTGCTTCCACATGCAAAACCTCAAGTCCAATCTTTAACCCATAAATGAAATGTTCTTCAAAGTGTGTGAGGGCAGAAAATTTACCTACAGAAAGAACTGGTCCAATAGTCTCCATCAACCAGTGAAGCCAAAAGCAATGTTGAGTATTCTTAATGTCATTATTTCAGCAAAGGTGATGCAACAAATACAGGACAAGATACATGTCAACCATCAAGATGAAACAAAGAAATGGGGGGCCAGTGATGCATCTGGATGCTCCTTTTTCCACGCTAGTGCTTTCACCAAATAATATGCTAATAGGATATCATGTAGATATGATTTCATGGGACATGTAATCAAAGTATGAGGGGCCTATCAGCTGATCAGCATCCACCTGTGATGTGATCTCCACATTCTCAGTGACATAAATGGCCAACGTATGGATGCTAAAGTGCTTTGGATTCCACTTGAACAACTCAATCCAAAGAGAGAAAGTCTTCTGATGGAACACAAACAGGTGCTCTGTTTTCTTTTCTTAAAGCTTTTGGAGGTTTGATGGCATAGAAAAGGACATTGTGCAATGGTCATGATTAGGTTTAGGAACCAAAAATGAAGATTTGTATGATGTTAATATCTAAGAGATTAGATATGATGGGACCCAAGAGACTTCCATGGATAGAGTAATACCTACCAATGAGACTAGTTCAACAAAAAGTGGGTGTTTACTGAGTCTGAGATCCAGGTTTTATGGGTGCCAACTCAAACATGAAAGAAAGAAAGAGACCTGTTCAAATCATTCATTGAGGCCTTGACCACTCCTCTATGATTCCACATCACCTACTAAGAAGAAGTGATATTAAAAAAGAAGAAAAAAAACCTAGTTTTGCTAGGAAAAAAAATCTCATCATGAATGGTGTACCTTTAAATCCTTTTGCCAATCTTGAAACATATACTACCATGAAAGTGACATGCTCTAGAATTCTGATAATAGTGGTGACATCATCTGATTGCAGTGGCATCCTTTCTCTATCTTTGTAATCCATGTTTGTGCTCAACATCTACAAATCAGAAAAGAAAGGGGAAGAGAATAAAGCTTTTATATAGGAAATTAATGTTAAGTTCCCAAGGTGGCCATGTTCTACCAACTAGCATCACTTTTGGGCCCTTCTTAATCATGAATTATTTACAGGTGCCACAGACGCAAACAAATGGTGAGAATGTGGCATTTCTGTTCTACATTTGTTGCACCTGGGACCTTGCAACTCTTTCCTTGCTTTGCAAGTCTTGATTCCATATGAATGAATGTTCTTTGTTTTGCAAACATGTAGGATTTCTTTGTTTTACTGTCAGCTTAACAAGGAGTGGTTTAAACTAGGAATGCTGGAGAACTTGTGCAAAAAAAATCATTCAGCCTAGAAGTAGGTTTGGTGCTCTTTATCAGTCTATTTCTTGTGTACATCAGCAGCAGCATTTAGGTTGTTTTGCCTGTATCCATACCATTATACAAAGAGTCATATACAGTTCATATGTAATTCTGCTATCAATTTCTTCAAACAACATTAGTAGTTTGACCTGTGTTTCCTTGGAGAACACAAATGATTAGTGACCTGTTGTTTGACTTTGGAAATTGGTTCATCTTATTCTTAAACTCAATATTATGATCTTCTTCCAGTAGAAAAGGCATCATAGAACTTCAATGACCAGAGGATCAGCATTGATATTTCTGATTCATCATTAGTTCTTGGCAGGTTTAGTTTGGTGAAAGCCTTCCATGACACTGTTCTTTCAAATTCTTCATCTATATATGTCATTTGATCTTGGGAAACACTTTAGTTTACTGATATGGAACTTTGTCAAGTTGTGTATGACTCCTGTTTTCATCTCAATCATTCCTCAACAGGGTGACATAGCACATCAAATCATGTTCTCTGCCACCATCTTTTGAAACATGATTCTGATGAACATTTAAACTTGGTCTGTGAAATCTGATAAACTTTCAGAAGAATTCCTATCACAATCTGCAAAAATGCTCAACAAAATGATGGCATGGCTTTGTAGTCAGTGACCCCACAAATGATGGATGGAAATTTTGATGAAAGAAAAAAGTGAGAAAAATAAGATTAAAAAGAAAAGAATTGGGTGGAAAAGAAAACTTCAGCTTCTTTTTTGTTCTTCATTGTCAGTGATAAGATCTTGAGGTGTTCCAAGGCATGGCATGAGCTATGAAACTAAAAGAAGAGTGTGCTGATGTGAGTAGTTCATCAATCAATTAATTCCTCCTTTCTTCATCTGTTAGCACACTGCAGTGTCTCAAACACACACATATATAGGATTAAGCTCTCTATGATAAGATAATTAGTTTCTTTAGAAGTGATATAGAATCTTTAATAAGCACAGAGGAAAAAAAAACATGTTTGATGCTTTCTAAATAGTATTTAAATCAGATAAAAAATAATTATTATTTTTGATGTAGAACAAAATAATTATTCTGATACTAAAAAATGCTTGGTATGTGTTAGAGAAGTGTTTCGATACCTGCTCAATCGATACCCACTTCCATACACACCTCCATATGAGACCTGACCGACGTACGTGTCCGAGTATTAATGAGTGGAGCCCGGTGACGCATACGGGCTATCTTGCTCGTGGTTTACTGACAACAGCAACTGGGCAATGGATTCTCCCTTCGCTCGTTGCGAGGGGAATCTGTGACCCCAATTCCGATTTCCTCACCTTCTCCCGTCTCAATTGCATCGGATCAACCATTAAACCATCGAAATTTGGTGTTTTTCTTTGATCCCTCTTCGACTTGGGCGCTGATTCACCCACTTTGGGTGGAATTTCCAGAGATTTCGGTCATAGAAGTCGTCTCAATCTCGGCGGCGTTTGTTCTTACAATCACTTCTATCATTTCGATGTCTCTAGAAGATAATTCAGTTTTCTGGTGTTTTTCCCTTTCGATTTGATTTGCTCGGGTTTTATGTCAAAGATCGTGAATCTCTTGATTTCTCTCAGAATTGTCTTAAATCTCAAATTTTAGTAGGAGATCTGCGTTTATGATCATTGAATGTTGGATGGATTGGCTATTGTCTAGATTCTGGCTGTCTTTAGAGGTTTTTTGATGCTTGGTCTATCGGTGGGTTTCATGCTAACATGAAAAACCAGTCATTTGGGTCAGGAAGCCCCAAATCCTATCATGGCTACCCCAGGGGTGACTTCGATTTGGAATCCGGAAGCTTTCGCAAGAGCTTCCGAAAGCCTAAGAACTCATCACGAATTGGTCCCATCAGGATGATGAATTCCATTGCCAACCGCATTCATTATTTTTACAAGCTTCATCCTGTTGCAGTCTTTCTTTCCTCCTTGGCCTTTGGTGTGGCCATTCTGATAGTGCTTTCGATGTACGAAAGCCGAATTAGAATGATGGGTTTCCGGAGGGACGGTGACTTGAGTTCGGGTTCTTATCCATTGGCAAATCTCCGTAATCTTGTGATGGTTGCTGGGCATTCAATCTATACGAGCACTAGCTGTGGGAAGATTGACAGTGAGGATTCGTGGTTTCTGGAACCGTATCAGAAGAACCCTGGGCAAGCAGCTACTTTCTTGGCACATATACAGGAGGGAGTGGAGAGTGCAGCTAAGGATGAGGGAGCACTGCTCTTGTTCAGCGGTGGGGAAACTCGGAAGGATGCTGGCCCTCGTAGTGAAGCACAGAGCTATTGGGCTGTTGCAGAATCCAAAGGATGGTTTGGTATACTACTCACTTGTGTCTTTGATACTACCAGTTGGCGTGCAGTTGTCTTCTGCTTACTATCTGTAAATGGACAAGTTTCTGTGCTTGATAAATTGGGGTAATATTCATTAGGTATAAAACTTTTTTGGGCAGACTCATTTATGTGTCTCTTTGTTCTGTCACCTTAACACCATTTACATTTCAACTGCCAAAAAATCTGCCAGTACCAGTGCGCTAAATGACTAGAAACTGTTTTCACAATGTTAATGTAGTTCAATTTTATCCTCTCATTCATGCATATGCATGATTTCCAAGTTGAAAAATGGATCTTTAGTGTGCAGTTTTAGATAAGAGTTGTCGAGGTAAGGTCGTACGCATTGATTTTCCTCTGACCCCTTATTGGCATGGTCCTTATTCACTGAGTTTGTCCAGAAAATTGTTCTGCAATTCCAAAATGTATAATGAATATATTTAGTAATCTTTGTCATGATGTATACTGCGGTATGATTAGCTAGGGAAAATTAGTTGCTGGTTAAGATTGAAGGCAAAAGGGTGAATCCACATGCTGATGTAATAATACTCTAGGTCCTCACAAAGATATAGTGTAGGGATTTTGTCTCTTACTGTTCTGAAAGCCCATCTTTTACATGCCATCTATGTATATTTCTTTATTATTACAAGAGATAACATACTAAAGTAATTAAAACTTCAATTTACTTGTTTGTTGATTAACCAGCTAGTTTGATGTTAAATTTAGATAAACTTTCAATGCTTAATTCATGTCTGAGAATCGTGGTTCCTTTTCATATTCATTCCAATTTGCC